GAATGCAACTGAACACTTTAAGCAGGTCTTAACGGACCATCCTAGTAGGAGTGTGGAAGAGAGTGCCGAAGGTGATTTGACAATGTCAGGCACTGAGGGGAGCTGTCTGTTTTGTTTTTTAAATTTAAATTAGAATCAAGCTTGTTTTGCATGTCAATCCCAGTTCTCTCTCCTTCCCCTCCTCCCCTGCCCTCCACTGACCCCCCATCCCAACCCCTTTCTGCTCCCCAGGGAGGGAGGGAGGTCTTCCATGGGGGATCTTCAAAGTCTTTCACATCATTTGGAGAAGGGCTTAGACCCTCCCTGTGTGTCTAGGCCTGGCTATTTTCTTTTAGGACTCCATTACCAGTACTTTCCCACTGCCATGGTAGTTGTGGCAAGAACCACCCCTATTTTTAGTCTGGGTTTCTGTGAGGTAAGAGACATTCAACAGTCAAGGAAAATATGTCAAATTGAACACCCAGGTGTAGGGAGAAACCCTGATTAAGAGGTACCACTGTCCACCCCCACTTGAGCATAGTTACGTAACAAGGGTTTAAGTGGGAGGGAGGCTTGCACTCGGGCTCTTTTTTCTCTTTCACCTGGCTGAGCTCACTAGGAAGCATCTTGTGGGTCCCTCCTGCTCCGGTGAAGACTTGGTACTATTCCTTAATAAACTACCTGTTATCAATCTATTTCTGACTCCACTTTGTAAACCTCATTACCCAGGTCACCAGGCAGCTTTGTTTCTATATTTGTAACCACTATTTCTGGGCTTTTTAAACTAAGGAAAGCTACTGTGGTATTCCATCCCAAGAAGTTTCAGAGTGGAAAATTATTATCAAGTGGTCTAGAGACTGTTCTTGTGATATTTTGATGAAGAATATGGCTGCTTTCTGCCCTTGTCCAAACTCAAAAATCTGCTTGAGGCTATAATGAGAAGTTTTGGATTAATGGCATTGCCAGAGGATATTTCAAGACAGCTTAGCATTGACTCTGACATGAGGTTATTAGGGCCCACTCCTATGCCACTAATAACAAATACAAAATGTACAGTTTGAGGAGAAAAAGAGTGCCTGCAAATGTAATACAGATAAGTCCAGTGCTCAAGGAGAGAAAAAGTTTAAAGAAGAGCCTGACACTAAATGGAATAACTGGAGTGGAGGCCTCAGGGCAAGATCCCACCCAGTTAAGCTTCCAGAGTGTGAAAACTAATTACAGAAAAGCTTAAACACTTAAGCAATGAAGGAAATGATCAACAACAGAAAGCTGGTGAATATGTAGTTGGATGAGGAGGAGGCCAAGTTCCAGCCCCAGCAAACAGCAGGACTTGGCATGGTTCTGGCTTTAGAGTCAAGGGTACAAGAAAGGGGTTGTGGAATCTCTCTCTGCAGTCTAGTAAGGCCATGTGTCAGGGGTGTCCCTGCATGGAGGCCTAAAGAGGACATTGGATAAAGATTTGAAAGTGAAGCCTGGATTGCCTTGGAGACCCCAAGATGTTGGAGATGACAGAGTTGTGAGATACATTCCAAGGAGACCTGCCAAAATGAAGTGGAACCAGCCCAAGAGAAAGAAGTATGTTGCAGTCAACAAAGCTGATCTGCTTTTTTATTTTGATTTTAGAGGGGATTACAGTTAAGAGATTGCAAGAGTCTCAGAAGAGATTTTGAACTTTTCAATAGTGTGGAGACTGATAGACTATGGATAGGGACTTTTGAAGTTTTGGCCTGAATGCATTTTTTTTATTATGATATGGTTATAAGCCTACGGGGGACAGGGAGTTGAATGTGGTGGTTTGAATAAGAATATACCCCATAGGCTCATAGTTTTGAATACTTGGTCACCAGGGAGTGGCACTATTTGAAAGGGTTAGGATGTGTGGACTTGTTGGAGGAAGTGTGTCACTGGAGGTGGGTTTAGGCTTTAATAGCCCAAGCCAGTCCCAGCATCTCTCTCTTCCTACTGCCTGCAGATCCATTGTAGAACTCTCAGCTCCTTCTCCAGCACCATGTCTGCCTGCATGCTGCCATTCTCCCACCATGACAATAATGGACTAAACTTCTGAAATGGTAAGCCAGCCCTACTGAAATGCTTTCCTTTATAAGAGTTGGTGTGGTTATGGTGTCTCTTCACAGAATAGAAAACTGATTAAGACAGCATTGTAGAAAGCAGAAGAGAAAAGAACAAAGCATATGATCTATTGATTAAAATAGCTTTCCTCACTTATTACCAAATTCATTTTCATAATTCCTCCACCTCTAATATAATCTTCATGTGGACCCCACTTTTCCCACAGACTGAAGTTCATTGCACAGAGGTCTGGGTGCCTGTTACTCACACGGGCACTGTACCATGGTTACCTTGACTCATGAGATAGCACTGTGTGAGTGCACGGAGGGGCAGACAACAGTTCAATTACTGGGTTTGAGGGAAAGGGTGTTTCCTTATGTTTGGTGTGCAGTTGTTAAAAATCCATGTTTCTGAATTTCTACAGTGGGTATGTATGTGTACCCTCACACTTTGAGAATTAAGGTCGTCTGAGAGATTGGCCTACTGATGCTTGCATTTCCATACATATTCTAGCAGGGTAGAATACTTTGGCATTTCCCTCAGACATGGGGGATTACTGAAAGCATATTATTGGGTTGTGATCTTATGTATTCCTCAAGGCATAACATCATACATGTATGATGTTCATTCTTTTCACTGTCGTTTTTTAACAAAATCTCAACCATTCAATTTTACCAATGAAGATTTGGGATCCAGATGCTAGGGTGAAAGCCTGCTCAGTCAAGGAGGCAGAGCAAGCAACCAGCTGATTTTCCTCCTCAGCAGAGGTCCCAGAAGCCTCTTCTCTCTCCTACCTTCCAGTTCCCATGTGTCTCTCTATCCATCCTCCTGACTCCCTCTTAATATTGATTTTTTCTTAATAATCCTATGCTGACCTCCTGTTAACTGGTTGCAGGCTTTACCTTTTGACCTGTGGTTGACTTTATTTAATCCTGTTTATGATATGCAGACAGAAATCCCTTGGATTAAAGGTGTGTGCCAGGCAGAGACTGAAGCAGCAATCACGAAGCCTGCATGGGCCTGTGCTAGGTCCTCTACATATATATTATGGACATGTAGCTTGGTGTTCTTTTGGGTCTGCTAATAGTGGGAGTGGGGAATGTCTTTGACTTCTTTGCCTGCTTTTGGGACCCCCCTTTTTTAAGATTTATTTATTTATTTATTTATTTATTTACCATGTATACAGTGTGTGCCAGAAGAGGGCACCAGATCACATTACAGATGGTTGTGAGACACCATGTGGTTGTTGGGACTTGATCTCAGAACCTCTGGAAGAACAGTCAGTGCTTTTAACCCCTGAGCCATCTCTCCAGTCCTTTTGGGACCCTTTTCTGCCTGCTGGGTTGACTCATCCAGCATTGATATGAGGGTTTATGCCTAGTCTTACTGCATCTTGTCATGTTGTGTTTGCTTGATATTCCTGTGAAGATGGCTCTTTTCTGAAAGGAAACAGAGGAGGAGTGGTTCTTGTGGGGGGGTGGTGAGGGAGGACTGGGAGGAGTGGAAGAACAGGAAATGGAGATCAGTTGGGATGTAATGTATGAGAGAAAGAGCATAAGAAATAAATACATCTTAACAACAACAACAGCAAAAAGGTGTGTGCTAGGGCTGAGCCACGTCACAACTAGAAACAGGTTTTTCCAGTAAATAACACAATCTCAGAGTTCATGGTGTGATCAAATATCCTGCAAAAACTGTCAGTGTGACTGAAATTTGTAATCACCCATAAACACCACTGAGTGTATTTGTGGACATTGCCAGGGGCAATATTCACCATGAATGTCAGCAGTGTGATCCTGTAAGCTTGGGTCCAAGATTGCCATGTGGTTGAGTTCCAGGTGAAATAAAAACGGAAGAAATGAAGAAGCTGACTGCTGGGGAATATTCATCTCTTTGTTCTCTGACTGGACATATCACAGGAAGCTCCTTCAGCTCCTGCTATCATATCTGGGACTGCTCTTCCTCTCAGGTTTCCTCCTCCACAGTACAATGCACCCTCACACTGTGGAACAACATAAACCCTTCCTGAAGTTGCCTTTAAGTGGCTGTAGCAGGCTTTCTTTTGGGCCACCAACCAGCTCCCAAATCACAATCCAGAGACTTATCATTAGTTATGAATGCTCAACCTTATCTTTTTCATGTCCCACTAGCTCTTTTAACTTAATTTAGTGGGTTTCTCTTCATTTACATTTTGCCTCAGGTTTTTTTCCTTTCTTTCATTCTGTATGTCCTACTCTGTGTCTGATTGGCTGGCAGTTGCCTGACCCCAGGCATTTCCCTCTCTTTCTCCCTCATTCACTCATCTTTTCTCTTGAGCCAAGATTCTTCCTCCTACTTATTCTCTCTGTCTGTCAGCCCTGCCTGTCCCTCTACCAGCTAGCTATTGGCTGTTCAGCTTTTGATTAGACCAACCAGGTGCCTTAGGCAGACAAGGTGAAATAGCAACACATCTTAACATCATTAAACAAATGTAGCACAGCTTCCAATAATTAAATTAATATTCTGAAATATAAGCAAATGTAATACATCTCTGCCTAGTTAAAGTAATATTCCACAACAGGTGATTTTTGCAGGAGAAAAATGACCACTATGACCTGATCATGGCTATCATGTAGCTAAATGGACTTTGGGAATGGAGAGTGTGTGGGTTTCCACTTTCATTTGTTGTGTTTAGTATTTAGATGTGTATTTAGTATTTCCAGAGAGACTATTCTGGTCAGTTGAGCTTCCTGCAAAACTTGGCATAGATCTCCAGAGTGATAGGTAGCTCCTGTTAGTTGGGCTGGAGTAGCATTTTGAATATGCAGTTGGCCATAAGTTATCCATGTTCCTAGAAGTAATCCTAATAGAAACACTGGTTTGCCTAGCTGGACTTTGGTGGAATCATTATTTTCTGGGGCATGTAGACATTTGCTTGTGTGTTCTTTCATGTCTTTGAAGATGACTGTTACGACTGAAGGCTTTCCCACACTGTTTACATCCATAGGGTTTTTCTCCAGTATGGGTTGTTTCATGCCTCTGAAGATGACCATGACATATAAAGGCTTTACCACATTCTTTACATACAAAGGGTCTGTCTCCAGAATGAATTTTTTCATGTAATTGTAGATTACTGTAACATCCAAAAGCTTTGCCACATTCTGTACATACAAAGGGTCTGTCTCCAGAATGAATTTTTTCATGTAATTCAAGATTACTGTAACAGTCAAAAGATCGGCCACACTGTTTGCATATAAAGGGTCTGTCTTCAGTATGAGTTTGTTCATGTCTCTGCCGATGACTGTTAAGTCTAAAAGCTCTACCACATTGTTTGCACACATAGGGTTTTTCTCCAGTGTGAATTTTTTCATGTACTTGAAGATCACTATGACGTCTGAAGGCTTTCCCACATCGTTTACATTCATGACGTTTTTCTCCAGTATGAATTTTTTCATGTACCTGCAAGGCACCAGGAAATATGAAGGCTTTCCCACATTGTTTACATTCATAGGGTTTTTCACCAGTATGAATTCTCTCATGTAAGTGAAGGTAACTGTGGTATCTAAAGGCTTTCCCACATTGTTTGCATTTATAGGGTTTTTTCTCAGTATGAATTCTTTCATGTCTTCTAAGTGAACTGTAAGAACTCAGAGCTTTACCACACTGATTACATTCATAACATTTTCCTACAGCGTGAGTTCCTCCATGTGTACATAGTGGGCTAGTATTAATAGAGGCCTTTCCACATTCCTTGTATTGATACAGACTTTTTCCACTATCAGTTTCCTGATGCGTTCCCAGTGTATTTGGAAAACCAAAATATTTTAAACATATCTCACATTCACATGGCCCGTTCACAACATGGGTTCTCATGTACCTTTGGAAGCTTATCAGAGAATCAGAGTTACATTGCTTGGTCACGTATTTTTCATGTTCATGTGGATTATATCGAGAGTGAGATGTGGCATATCTACTAGAGGATGAATGACACCAGGAAGTCTTCCCCCACACACTGTGATCACATGGTGCTGGGCCAGTGGAACTTATCATGCTCATACTGCGACTTGGTTTCCAAGTCAAGTTTTCTCTATGTTGATCACCACCTTCATACTCACAGAAGGTCTGTAACATGTAACTTCTGTAAAGAAAACACATACCACAACAAAAGAGAAGCAATTTAGTAATAGTTGTTTTAGTACTGACTGCTTTTTAGGTCTAGTTTATACATAGTTCCAAAGATCAGACGAGGTTTATGCCTTTTGCCAGATCTGAGTGGCCAGAGACTAAATGGATCGGACATTCTACATGCTGACTCTCACAGAGCTTTGATCAAAACAGTGATATCCATTAGTTCAAGTTTGTATAATGTTTTCAAATTAAACACTGTTAATATTAATCAGCATGCTCCCATTTTAGTGTCTGTTAACTGTAATTTTGGTAAAAATGTTCAAATGAAAAAATTCACACTGTGCCTATATGTTTAGTTTGCTTATTTGCACATTTTTGTAGCATATTAAAATTCCTTAGACTTCCTGTCATCACTGAAGAACAACAGAATTCTTCAAACCCCAGGGCCATGTATAGGGAGTGGAGGAAGCTGAGTGAGTGAGTGCTGAGCAAATGTGTATTTTGACATTGGCACAGCCTGTTGAGGACTCCTAAAACTAACTGGCCCATGGTAAACTGGCAAAGCCATTTTCATATGGCCCACACTTAAAAAGGGATGGCAAAGCTTTCTTTGGGAGTTTGAGTCTGACTATTTGTGATCAATGTGTGTAAGGACTAGCAACTACAGCTCCCTCCTCCCAGGTATTTACAACCATCCACCTACAGAGATCTACCCATACCCATAACTCCCTGTGCTGAAGAAAGATGGCGAGGTTCCAGGTTGCAGCAGTAGCAGTTAGAGAATCCTATCAGATCCGAGTTTCATTGTACGTGTGTCTGTTCTTTCTTCATTCCTTCTCCACCCCTAGTCAGGGTTCCTGAACCCAAGCTACTGGGACTCAGGAGCCATAGGCCACAAAGTTGCTCACATGAGTGAGCAAACACACCGAGTTCATGTGGGACCCAATCAGAAGAGGTGGGGCTTTGTGCCCTATGAGCAGTGACTCATGGACCTGTTTAAGGTCTCCCCGGATAAGAAAACACTCAAAAGGATTCATTATGAATTTGACAAGCCAGACAAAGCCAGAAAAGCTGAGTAGCATCCTAGTAGCTAGGAGGAAAGCCTGTCCCTCTCAATACACTTCTAAACCTTTAGAAAAGATCCTTCTTGCATGCATATTACCTTAGACTTCTCTCAGGACTTTTACAATGCTCTTCAATGTTCTGGTCTTCCCATTTATATCCTAAAAGGTAGCCCCAGAAGATTTAGGATAAGTTAGAAATTACTAAAAAATTAGTTTCTTGCTTTGATTAACATTGAAACCCTGTCTGATATATTTAATATAATTTGCCTTTCAATAGTCCAAACCCCAGCAGAGCATCGATGCCAAGAGAGACTTGCTACATAAGCTACAGAGTGATGGGAAGACGATGTCCTCACCTGTGGCAGCGAGGTTCCTGCAGGTTTCCAGCATCACGTCTCTGTACAGACTCTTCTGGGAAGGATCCAGCAAAGCCCACTCTTCCTGGGTGAAGTGCACAGCCACGTCCTCAAAGCTCACTGAGGCCTAAACATTGCACACACTTGATTGGCAATAGGCTCACTCCACACTGTGGGGTCTACACATCTCTCCCACGACACAGCAGCTGTCATGCAGGCACTGGGAACGGGGAAGGAAGCAGCCCTACAGCAGCTCTCCTCTCATTACTGGGCCCAGGGAACAGGATGTGCTGCTGCTCTGCCCCAATCCTCTTCCTACAGTGCATTTCTACTTCCTGTCTCAGAGCCCTCCTCCCTGATAGAACGGTGTTAACACTAGCATGCAAGCATCTGCTGGTCCTTAGAAATTCCTGATAGCAATGTTTAAATTAAAAAATGTATCTTTTAACTTTATGCATATGTGCATATGCCTGAGTGTATGTATGTATGCACACCATGTTTGTGTACAGAGGTCCACAGAGGTTGCAAGAGGCGTTACATCCCCTGGAACTGGAGTCATGGATAGTTTTGAGACACCATGTGGATGTGGGCACTAAACCCGGCAGATCCTCTTTGGAACATTCAGTTCTCTTAACCTCTGAGTAATTTCTCCAGCTAGCAATCTTAACATGCATGAATTCAAATGATAAATAAATCACTCAGCATAAATGTTTAATGTCTATCTTATGACACAAACAAATTACACTCTTAAATTTGCATCTCATCAGAATGACATGAACTGCACACTATACCAGATGTGGACTTCTGATCTTAAGATTATCATGGCTGGTCAGGCTTTCAGTTTTCCAGTGTGTTGGTGATCCTCACCTCCAGGTCACAAAACTTCAGTGGGATTCACCTTCACGATGGAAGTCCTCTATTCTAAGTGGGATGCTGCAGCAAGTAACATTCAAATGAGCAGGAACATCTACACATACCTTTTCAGCCCTCGGTGGGTCCTGCACTCTCCATTACCTCTGACTTGGATGTGGGAAGTACGCACAGCTGGTATATATTTGGTTCTCAGATCTCATGTGACTTTTCATGAAATGTTAACAAATGTCTTCTTACTCCACACTGGGCAACAATGACATGAAAGTAACCAAGTCTAGTTTAGCAATGGGTTTACTGCAGTTATTTACAGGAGTGAGTGAAAACTCACCTCAGCATGGAGAAGGACTCCCTAAAACTGTCTATGGTGGGTTTCCGTACTAGGGAAATTGTGAGCTAGTCATGCTGTTTAGCATTTGTTAGTGTTTATGTTCCTGTTACTACAGATGTGTACATAAGGTACTATGAGTCTTGTGTTAGGAGATTCCTGAGCCTTCTAAGTTTATTTTTTGAATATTGTCCCTTCATGAGAAAAATGTCAACTTACACAAAGAGATATATTTTAAGGTGAAAAGAAAAGCCATAAAGGAACTAATAATTTTAAACATCAAAACTAGGGAAATGGGGGGGTGGGGGAGGAGGGATGGGGGTAAGGGGAGGGAGAGGGAGAAGGGACTTACATGTGAAACAAGCTTGTTCCCTAACTTGAACTAATAAATAAACTAAAAAAACACACACACACACACACACACACAACAACAACAACCAAAAAAAAAAAACTAGGGAATTTGAAACTGACAAATCAGAGTGATAGAGAAATCAAGAATATATGCAACATAAAAGAACTTACACGAGGGCTAGAGAGATAGCTCCCATTGTTCTTGCAAAGTTATATGAGGGCTGGAGAGATAGCTCCCATGCAAAGGACCTGAGCTCCATCTCTAGCAGCCACATCAGGCAGCTCACACACAACTGCATGGAGCTCCTCTCTTAGGGAGCTGACACCTCTTTGGCCTCCATAAGCACATACATAGACACACATGTACACATACACATACTCACAAATAACATACACATGACACCTCTCTGAGCACATACACTGACAACATATATACACATAAAAAAACATACACATAAGGTGACACCTCTCTGAGCACATACACAGACGCATATATACATGACACCTTTCTGGACTCCTTGAGTACGTACACAGACACACACACATACCCATAAATAACATACACATGTATGGCCTCCTTGAGCACATATACATACACATATAAATAAATAATAAAATGAATAATGCTTTACAAAGGAACAATAGCAGTATGAATATGCATGTGTGCATAATATGTGTATGGAGATGAGATGAAAACCTACTGGTATAGAAATAGGTTCACTTCCTTGATAATGATGAAACAGTAAAAACAGTCAAGCAAATGGCTTCTCACATGGAGATCATCAACAAAAATTACGCACTTAGGTAAGAAGCATAACAAAAAAAGTTATGGATGAAAGGCATCTAGGCTGGGCTCGGTGGCGCACACCTTTAACCCCTGGGGTAGGAAGGCAGAGGCACACAGATCTTTTGTGAATTTGAGGCCAGCCTGGTCTACATGGTGAATTCCAGGCCAGCCAGAGCTACATAGTGAAAGATTTTGACATGCTACTCTTTCCCAGAATGAGGATTATAAGTCCCTACATATGTCAGATGTGGTGACACACACTAATTACAGAAAGCAGATGATTGAGGGGAATCTCTAGTTCAAGTTCAGCTTGCATCTTGAAAATAAAACAAATTAGGGCTGGAGAGATGGCTCAGCGGTTAAGAGCACTGACTGCTCTTCCAGAGGTCCTGAGTTCGATTCCTGGCAACCACATGGTGGTTCACAACCACCTTAAATGAGATCTGGTACCCTCTGCTGGCATGCAGGCAGAAGACTGTATACATAATAAATAAATAAAATATTAAAAAAGAAAAAATAATTATAAAAATTATTTGATTTCCACAAAGGAAACGGTTTGTTCTTTCTTCTACTTTTATTTTGGTCTTTTGAGATAGGGTTTCTCTGTGTAGCAGCCCTTAGCTGTCCTGGAACTCACTCTGTAGACCAGGTTCGCCTCGAACTCAAGAGATTTGCCTACCTCTGCCTCCTGAGTGCTGGGATTAAATGTGTGCACCTTACCTGAGGGGATGGTTCTTAACATCAACATCATTCCTATGGAAAAATGATATATTCTGGACTTCAAAACATTTTGAAATGGTGATTTTGTTTAAAGGAGTTGAAAATGCAACACAACCAAACAAGTCCTAGGAGGGTTATATTAGCACTATGCCTAACACGGGAGTCACGAAATGAAGATTTCAAGGCACAAAATATACAAAACTCAATCACACTCTACAGACACATGATAAAATACTACAAAATGTAATTGGAAAACAAATCTATTTATCACCCAAAAATAAATACATGAATTTAAATTTGACAGTTAATATTTTCAGATTTAATAATTTAAATCTGACAGTTAATATTTGTAGTTTGAAAACTACAAAGCTTGTTAAAAAATCTGATTTTTAAGAAACATTTCTCCATGTGTGCATGTGTGTGCATGCATTTGCCATGGTGCATGCATGGAGCTGAAAGGACAAGAGTTCAAAGACATACTTGTGACTTTTGATTCTCTTACCATGTGGCTTCCAAAGATTAATCCCAGGTCTGAAGGCTTGGCAGCAAGAGCCCCCACCCACTGAGGGACCCTGCTGAATCTGTGTTTTGTTTCTTTAAGACAGGTCCTCATTATGTAGTCCTGACTTGCCTGAAACTCACTATGTGTAGTGACATATTATTTATGATTTATTAAAGCTTGACTGTATATTCAGAAAAGCAAAATCAGCATCAAGGGATAGAGATCAGGCAGTGGTGACACACACCTTTAATTCCAGCAGCCAGAAACCAGGAGGTGGTGGTACACACCTTTAATCCTAGGATTTAGGATTAAGAGGTGGATGGATCTCTGTGAGTCCAAGACCATGCTCAGATCTACACAAGTTTGAGTCAGTCTAAAAGAGAATTATAGCTCACACCTTTAATCCCAGCACTAGAGGGGTATGAAAGACAGGAGCAAGTAGTCAGTATGAGACATTCTTTCTCTAGTCACGCTGAGGAGAGGTTAGAGTCTGAGGCTTGGTGAGAACTCTCAGAGACAGGATCAGCCCATTCAGCCTGAGGTAGAAGTGAGAACTAGTGGCTGGTTGTTTTGCTTCCCTGATCTTCAGCTTGAACCCCAATATCAGTCTCTGTATCTTATTTACTCGTGTTACAACTATGTACACATGTCTGACCTAGAACTCAGAGAGCTGTCTCTCTGAATGCTGGAATGAAAGGCCAGCACCAACTTGTTCAGCAAGAACCTAAGTTTAAGTAAAAGGAAAACCATTCTCTTATTTAATGTCATCAGCCTAGCAGTAAAATAATATAGAACAGTCCTTTAATGTCTAACTCTGGACCATACACCCAAGGAACCCCAGTGGCCAACCTTATCAGATTTGAAAATTGCTTCGGAAATTCATGAAATTGCAAGGAAGTTAGAATACAGGTACAGCCATCTTACTCCTGTCAGAATGGCCAAAATAAAAAACACCAATGACAGTTTATGCTGGAGAGGATGTGGAGAAAGGGGAAAACTCCTCCACTGCTGGTGGGAGTGCCATCTTGTACAGCCACTTTGGAAATCAGCATGGCGACTCCTCAAGAAAATGGGAATCAGTCTACCACAAGATCCAGCAATTCCACTCCTAGGCATATACCCAAAAGAAGCACATTCATACAACAAGGACATCTGTTCAATGATGTTCATAGTAGCACTATTTGTAATAGCCAGAAACTGGAAGCAGCCTAGATGCCCCTCAACCGAAGAATGGATGGAGAAAATGTGGTACATTTACACAATGGAGTACTACTCTGCAGAAAAAAACAATGGAATCTTGAAATTTGCAGGTAAATGGATGGAATTAGAAGAAACCATTCTGAGTGAGGTAACCCAATCACAAAAAGACAAACATGGTATGTACTCACCCATATGTGGATTTTAGACATAGAGTAAAGGTTGAGTCAGGGGAAGAATAGAAGAAAGGGTATGGGATAGGTAGGGTTTTGGATGGGGGGGTGGTAGGGGAGTACGGGAGGGAGAAGGGAACTGGGATTGGCATGTAAAACAATCTTGTTTCTAATTCAAATAAAAAAAAATCTGAGAAGAAAAAAAAAAAAAGTCTTGACTTCTACCAGAAAAAAAAAAAAAAAAAAAAAGAAAGAAAGAAAAAGAAAAAAAGAATACAGGTACAGCCTCGGAAAAGAGCAGAGCAGAGATTCACAGTTCAACACTAACTTCAAAGCAATTATCATTAAGGTAGGATAAGGCTGCAGATGGGCCTAAGGAATAGAAGAGCACTTACCCAGCATGCTATGCACAAGCCG